GTTTTGTTTTATATTAATAGTATAAATGCTCTTACATATGGAATCTCATCTCTTTTCCCTGCTCTTTTTTAAAAAAAAAATTTATTTATTTATTTACTTTTGGCTGTGTTGGGTCTTCGTTGCTGCGCTCATGCTTTCTATAGTTGCAGCGCGCAGGGGCTACTCTTCCTTGCAGTGAGCGGGCTTCTCATTGTGGTGGCTTCTCGTTGTGGAGCATGGGCTCTAGGTGCACGGGCTTCAGCAGTTGTGGCACACGGGTTCATTAGTTGTGGCTAGCGGGCTCTAGAGTGCAGCAGGCTCAGTAGTTGTGGCGCACGGGCTTAGATGCTCCACAGCATGTGGGATCATCCCGGACCACGGCTCAAACCCGTGTTCCCTGCATTGGCAGGTGGATTCTTAACAACTGCACCACCAGGTAAGTCCTCCAAGATACACAGATAAGTGAGAAAAGCAAAGTGCGTATCTTTATATGAAATATGACTTTATTTTTACTAAGAAAAGCAGCTTGTATAGGACTACATTTTAACATATAGATAACACACAGATAGCAATCCATGTGCAGAAGCAATCCTAAAGTGATCCTATACTGCAAGCTTTGTTTTTCCTCCAGCAGGTTTAATTATCTGACACTTTTGACATTCTATTTTATAATTGTATATGGTGTAGGACATCTTCATAAACACTACAAAACATTTTATACTTTTCTTATATTAGGAATCAAATATGTACTGATCCAGTTTTTGTTTTTTCCAACTTCAGCTAAAAAATCCTACATATTTAGACAGAACACCTATAAATTGCAAGAATGCATGTATATGTCTCTGCAGAATACACAGCAGAATGATGCATATTTCTTGAGCATGTATCATTATCACTTGGGGGCTTGTTAAAACACAAATTCTTTGGCCTGGCCCACAGAGTGCCTCATTCAGGTCTGGGTTCAGAATTGAGCATGTGCATTTTTTTTTCTCTTTTTTTTTGTGGTATGCGGGCCTCTCACTGTTGTGGCCTCTCCCGTTGCGGAGCACAGGCTCCGGACACGCAGGCCCAGCAGCCACGGCTCACGGGTCCAGCCGCTCCGTGATATGTGGCATCCTCCCGGACCAGGGCTCGAACCCGTGTCCCTTGCATCAGCAGGCAGACTCTCAACCACTGCGCCACTACGGAAGCCCCATGTGCATTTTTAATGAGTCCCATGGTGACACTGATGGTGAAGGTCCTGGGATCAAACTGAAAATCAGGGTTCTAGGAAAGGTGAGCATGCCTGGTTTCAGGCCCCAGTTCAATGTAGTGGAAATTTTCAAGCTCTGAGAGGCATAGCCAAGACTTTCTACCCACATGCCCTGAGTGTCTCTGCAATGAGCAAAGGAGAGGTATGGCCAGCTGGGCTGGTGTCCTGCACTCTGCACTGATGAGGAGACCTGTGAAGCCTCCACCCACTGAACAACATGGTCACCTGCTTCTTCTCCCCAAAATTTATTGCAGAAGTACCCAGCGGGCTCATCTCTTACGTCCTTCAAGTGTTTTCTCAAAGGCCCTCTTATTCAAAAGATTTCCCTTTCTGTGCTGTGTAATATTATACTCCATACTGTACTTCTCAGGATACTCACCTTGTCTTCTTCTCCCAATTTGTCTGCCACATTATAATATTATACAATTAGTCTTTTCTGTTTCTGGTCTTTCTTCCTTGAGTACAATGTAATTCCTATGAATTCAGGGGTCTTTGTCTCTGTTATGACCCAATGTCTCCCATGTACCTACAGGAAATACCTAAAACCAACTGTTTGCTCATTGATCATAAGTGAGACCAGGGACTAAATATGACATCTCAGCTACCCTGTATATTTTTACAACTCTGGTTACTCTGAATGTCTCCTTTAACTCTCTCCTTCCATGCTGGTATTGCTCAAAATTTTCAAGAATAAAAGAGTCAGGACTTCCCTGGTGGCGCAGTGGTTAAGAATCTACCTGCCAGTGCAGGGGACACAGGTTTGATCCCTGGTCCGGGAAGACCTCACATGCCGTGGAGCAACTAAGCCCGTGCGCCACAACTACTGAGCCTGCATGCTGCAACTACTGAAGCCCATGCTCCTAGAGCCCGTGCTCCGAAACAAAGAGAAGCCACTGCAATGAGAAGCCCACACACTGAAACGAAGATTAGCCCCCGCTCACCGCAACTAGAGAAAGCCCACGCACAGCAACGAAGACCCAACACAGACAAAAAATTAATGAATTAATTTAGAAATAAAAATAATGGTAGTATTTAGAAAAAGAATGAAGAAGAGTCACATTTTGGAGATAAAACCTTCAGAGTGACCATTCTAGTGATGTAGTCATAGGCTCAGCTTAATTCTATGTCTTCTCAGACATCACATCTAAAACTCTGAGGCCTGACCTTTTTCCATCATCCACTGATGTTTCACCAAAACTATTTCTGCTACTACTTTGAATCACTACATAGACATTATGAATAGCTATTTGTAATTTGTATTTTACAACTATTTTTCTGAGATAACATCAGTTCTTCATGCAAACAGTCCCTGCATCAAAAAAGAAATGATAATCATTTCCCAGCAATGAAATTGTAAATTTAAGATTCTCCTAGTATCTCCAGGGCAAGAGTACCCTTTGTATACATCCTCCAACTGTGAACACTGCAGCCATTGTACAGTCAAAGTAACATGTTTCTCATTGTCCTCTTTTTGAGATTGATGGTAGATTCCTAAAAGGAACTGAATACATGTGAGCGTATCAAGTAAGAGATATTAAATGGTTAAAAGTGTTGTTCAATGTATTAGACAGAATAATTGACTCTAAAAGCAGGAGAGATGTTTTCTTTGGAAACCACAGACTGATCTGTTAAAGAAAAATCACTCAGACGCTTGTAAAAAAGTTGGGATTTGTAGCCAACGAGGAGGTGGGGTGGTGTCAGTGGATAAAAAATTACTAAGAGAGCAGGGAAATTCTTCCTAAACTGACCTAAACAATTCTTCCAGAAGGTGTAGGTCAGTGTGATCAGGTATTACCTGTGTGATGGTGAGGGATGAGGAAATTTAATCAGACATCAGTGGCTTTCAGACATTTAGGATGGGAAATTCTTGCCAAACCCATTTAGCAGAACTCTTGCTCTTGAGGACAAGGCCCAAAGACTGGGTCTAATAAAATAAAAAATAAAATAAAAGAAAGAAAGAAAAAAACCTTAGAGGGGCTTGACTAAAGTTTAGTTAAGGAGAGGCTCTGTTAGATCTATTTTTGTACTCCTGATTCAGGGTGGCCCAATATCCTTCCTCTGTCTTCCTTGACAGAACACGATCTGGAGTATTTTCTCTCTTGCCACTGACCAAATGTACATAGACTGGAAAACTAACTTTATGCTTTGGAGTGCATGAATTTGAATTGAAATAAGATAATGTTTATTAGCTTCCGCTAACAAACACATTTTGTGTCTGATTCTATAAAATTATGTTCGTTTGGTTTTGTAGCCTTTGGGGGCATCTGAAATTGTTTGTTTGAATCTCTCTTCCCCACCCTCCCCCACCCCACCCCCACCCCCGGGCCGTGCCCCGCGGCTTGCGGGATTTTAGTTTCCCCACCAGGGATTGAACCCGTGCCCTCAGCAGTGAAAGCCAGAGTCCTAACCACTGGACCTCCAGGGAATTCCCTGAAATACTATTTTTAGCTTCTGGGAGCATGCCAATCTTCACCGAGTACGAAACTATATGTCTCCAAACACTTGGGTGATCAGCTGCAGAGAGCATTTGGCAAAAATAGGATCAAGATACCTTTAAAGGTGGGGTGAAGCTCACCTGGATATATCTTTTCCCAACTCCCTTCCTGGCAAAGCTAGTCCTTTCCAGCAGGAAGCCCAGTCTCCTCAGTGTGTGGATCTGTTGGGACTACATTACCCAGAATGCTCAGTATCGAGCGGCAGGAACGCTACCCAATGAACGCTTAGAGACAGGAGGCCTCATGATGTCAGGGCGGAACTTCTGGCTTCCTTTTCACAGCGGCCATGTTAGCTACTCTTGGTTTTGTTTGACCAGTGTGAGAGATTTGGGAATTGTGGGTCCATCTCGAGGTGACGGAATTGAGAAGGTCCGAGAGGAGGGGCTGTCCCCGCAGCATAGAGGCGGGTCTGAAGTTCGGCGACGCCGCCCGGGGGCCCCGCGCCAGGCCCAGGAGAGGGTCCGCCGTCCCTGCGCCCCGCCTCTCCCGGCCCCGCTCCGCCCACAGAGTCCGATGGCGGCGGCGGCGGCGCTGAGGAACCTGCCTCAGGTAAACGCTCGTCCTCCGGCCCTCACCACGCCAGACTAAAGCCCCGAGTGCGGGGCGCTTGTTCACGTGCCCGCAGCCCAGGCCGCGGTGTCCGGGATGGTGGTGGGGCGTGGGCAAGGATGACAGGCGGAGGGACACCTGTTAAAAGGAGAACCGGTCACTGAGGAACAGAGGTTGAATAGCTACCCTGAGTCCCAGTCTTCAGGGTCAGGCAGGGGTATAGGGAGGTCTGAGCCCATCGAGCCTCGCCATAGACTCATTCCTCAAGACTTGGCTTTTTCCACGTTTCCCGCGGCTGCAGAGGCGCTTTTTGGAAACAACACAGCCAAGTGGAGGGTGCCCCATTCCCTCACTGTCCCTGACCTCCACCCACATGTTCTCTGGATTGTGGTTTCTTGCGACTCGTAAGTGCCGTGCCCCCAGTTTGGGGTCTGGAAGCCCTGGAGAAACCCTAAGGCCAGGGTTATGTGAAGGTGTTTACGTTTCTGGCAACCATTGTAAACAGGTGTGAAAAGTTATCCTAGAAACTGGTAGCACATGCTTGAGGTAAGACTGAACTGGGAATTTCCAGGAAAGGAAAAGTCCCTTTTCTTTCAGGTGGGACTAAAGATCAGGGGACAGTAATCAGGACTGGAATGACTGCTGAGAAGTTGGTGATGGGAGGTTTCGATCAGAGGAGGGAGGTAGTATTACCAACGTCTTAACTGGCTACATCTGGCTGTTGCATGAAGTATAGACTGTGGGTTGGAGGAAGGAGTAAGGAAGATCGGTATGGAGGCTACTGCCATAATCCAGGTGAGGGTCAGTGGACCAGAGTCATGATTTAGGAGGTATGATTGGATTCTGGATGTGTGTTTTTAAAACTGACAACTATATTTTCTGATGTGATCCATGAGGGAGTAAAACAGGACTCAGGGATATTCCTAGGGTTGTTTTTGTTTGTTTGTTTTGTTTTTTTAGCAGGTATGGAAATAGAAGCTCTATCAACTGAGATGAGGAAGTTGGTAGTAGGAGTAATATTCCCCAGAGATATCAGGAGCTTCTGAGATGTTTCCTAGAGCATTAAGTGGAGGCATTAAGTGAGCAGCTAAATACACAGGTCTGGAAGTCTGGGGTGTGGGACAGTGAGGTGGTGACCACCATAGGCATGGGTTGTGGGATCCAGTCTCAAAGCATTATGCATACTTGAAGAGGGAGTATGCTTGATGACCCCAGGGCGCTGGTATTGAGACTTGTGACCTTGGCCACACCAGTGGAATAGCCTGGCATGAGTGTGTGGATCCCTCTATGCCAGGTCCACAGCTTAGATACCTACTTGCCAACCCACCTCTTGTTGATAGCTGGCTCCAGTGATCAATGGGACCGTTTGAAGACAGTGGCACCAATGGTGCCAGGGCCTGATTTCTCCTCTGAGTTGGAGAGCTTGGGAGGAGGACGAGCATGGGGCATGGATTGTTGTCCCTGAGAAAGGGACTGTTTGTGGTTTCATCTGTCTCCATCTTGCCAGGGCAGTGTGACCTTTGAGGATGTGGCCGTGTACTTCTCCTGGGAGGAATGGGATCTCCTTGATGATGCTCAGAGATGCCTGTACCACAACGTGATGCTGGAGAACTTGGCACTTATAACTTCCTTGGGTAAGGCTGTCAAACCCGCCTCTATGCCTTGAACTAGTCTCTGCCCTTCCTTTTTTCCCCAGGAGCAGTCTGTCCTCACATCAGGACCATGGGCACTGCTTCCTTCCTTAGTTCCCTGGGTTGGTGCTGTGGTTCATGGGGCTGAGGTTTGTGCACCTCTCTCTCCTTCCTTTAGCATGCCCAACATTAGCTTCCCTCTTGACTTACAGTTCTTTTTTTATTATTATTCTTTTAAAAAAATTCTTTATTTTCCATTATGGTTATCATAGGATATCGAATCCCTTGCTTCTTTTATCATCAAGGTGCCATGTATTTGATCAGTGAGGGAGTGGGATTGGGTTGGAGAGCCCACAGAGGTTCACAGTATGTATATGAATCAAGCAAGATGACTCAGAGGGAACCTGGTCCTGCATAGTAGCACATAGAGGGCATGATGACAATGCCGTATTCAAATCATGCCAGAAACTTACTGTGTTTGACCAGAATTTTGATGCCAGTGGCCACACTTCATTTCTGTGTTTCTTCCACTTTCTTGACACTTGGCCAATTCATCATCTCTATTGTCACTGCTACTCTTAATTTCCAACCTGAGGTTAACCTCACATCTCTGGACTCCTCTCTCACCCGTTTTTCTCACTACTCCAACTGCAGTGCTTTCTGCATTGGCCCTTATGTATTCTATTTTTTTTTTTAACTTTAAAAAACTTATTTATTTAGTTATTTTTGGCTGTGTCAGGTCTTCATTGTGGTGCACGGGCTTCTCTCTAGTTGCGGCGGCACGTGGGTTTCTCTCCAGTTGTGATGTGTGGGTTTTCTCTCTCTCGTTGAGGTGCGCAAGCTCAGTAGTTGTGGCGTGCGAGTTTTGTTGCTCCGTGGCATGTGGTATCTTAGTTCCCTGACCAGGAATAGAACCTGGGTCCCCTGCATTGGAAGGCAATTCTTTACCACTGGACCACCAGGGAAGTCCCCCTATGTGTTGTTTCATGAGGTGTGCACACATTTTTAAACAGTCCTTAAAGACCAGCTGCCCTACTATAGTCGTATTTTCTTGGGTCTTGGCACAACCCTTTTATACAGTGTTCATGTGTGACCAGCAGACGGGTTCCTTTTCAAAGTTCTTTGTAGAAGAAGGAATTGCATACCCTGTCTCTTCTTTTTGTGTCCACCACAAGGTTCTGTCCTTCACCTCATGAGACCTCTCCCATTCTGTGATCTTTATAGCTCAGTAGTGCTAAGCAGCCCCATCCTCAACTGGAACCAACTCCTTGCTCCTGCAAACAATCCCATGGACAGGTTCCTAGGTTTGTTACACACACTTTTGTAGTAGCTGTCCCCTCCCACCAAAGTCAATGTGCACTTCACCAGCATTACTTGCTTTCAGGTTATTGGCATGGAGCAGAGGATGAAGAGGCACCTCCTGAACAGAGCATTTCTGTAAATAGAATGTCACAGGTCAGTACTCCCAAGGCAGGTGTGTCCACCCAAAAGGCCCATTTTTGTGAGATATGCGGCCCGGACTTGGGAGACATTTTGCACTTGACTGAGCACCAGAGGCAGAAACTGTATGATATTGGGGCATGGGAGCAGCAATTGTATTTCAGTGCAAAACTTCAGCACCAAAAGCAGAACATTGGCGAGAATTGCTTCAGAAGCAACATGGACAGAGCCTCATTTATGAAAGACTGCAAATTTTTTGTGTCAGGGAAGTCCCTTTCCCATGGGGAGTCCACATACACCAGGGAGAAGTCAAACAGGGGAACTGAGTGTGGAGCTGCCTTTCACAGGAGGAAAACTCATTATAACTCTGGAGAATGTACTGAAGACTTTAGTTGCAAACACATGCTTTTTCAGCACCAAAGAGTCCCCACTAGAGAAAAATGCTACATGTGCAGCGAATGTGGGAAATCTTTTAGCAAAAGCTACAGCCTCAATGACCATTGGAGAGTTCATACTGGGGAAAAGCCTTATGAGTGTGGGGAATGTGGGAAAACCTTTAGGCAAAGCTCTAGCCTCATTCAACACCAGAGAGTTCACACTGGAGCGAGGCCTCATGAGTGTGACGAATGTGGAAAATTATTTAGCAACAAATCCAACCTCATTAAACATCGGAGAATTCATACTGGGGAAAGGCCATATGAGTGTAGTGAATGTGGGAAATCCTTTAGTGAAAGCTCTGCACTCCTTCAACACCGGAGTGTTCACACTGGAGAAAGGCCTTATGAGTGCAGTGAGTGTGGGAAATTCTTTACCTACCACTCCAGTCTTATAAAACACCAGAGAGTTCACTCTGGATCAAGGCCCTATGAGTGCAGTGAATGCGGAAAATCCTTTACTCAAAACTCTAGCCTAATTGAACACCGTAGAGTTCATAGTGGAGAAAGGCCTTATAAGTGCAGCGAATGTGGGAAATCTTTTAGCCAAAGCTCTGCACTTCTGCAACATCGGAGAGTTCACACTGGAGAAAGGCCTTATGAGTGCAGCGAATGTGGGAAATTCTTTACTTACAGCTCCAGTCTCTTGAAACACCAGAGAGTTCACACTGGATCAAGACCTTATGAGTGTAGTGAATGTGGGAAATCCTTTACTCAAAACTCCAGCCTCATTAAACACAGGAGAATTCACACTGGAGAAAAGCCTTATGAGTGCAGCGAATGTGGGAAATCTTTTAGCCATAACTCCAGCCTCATTAAACACCGAAGAGTTCACACTGGTTAAAGGCCTGATGAGTGCAGTGAATGTGGGAAATCCTTTACCCATAGATCCAACTTCAGTGACCACTAGAGTGTTCATATTGGAGAAAGGCTTTATGTGCATTTGAATGTGGGAAATTCATCTCCAGGCTCCTAAAACACCATAGTGTCACATTGGAGCAAAGCCTTATGAGTATGGCAGATGGGGAAAATCCTTTGGCCAAAGTCTAGCCTCAGTACACTCCAGAGAATTCACAATGGAGAAAGGCCTTATAACATATATTCAGTGAGTGTGAGAAAGCCTTCCGCTGAAGAACATACCTCATGGGATACCACAGATTTCAAATGGGAGAACTACCTTCAATGTGCAGGTATATACGATTTCTTTGTTCAATGCAACAACACAGGAGGAGATCCCTTATGAAGATGCCATTTGCCTGTATTGAACCAGATACATCCAAACATCCACTTAAATTCCAGGTACGTGGGAGCTGCATTGCACTTTTTAACCTGTCCAGGGCCCTTGCCAGATTTATGTCACTGCCAGTTCTGTAGCAGAAGTCATTTCACCTCTAACCACCTGGCAGATGCCCATAGTGTGCAACATTCATCCAACCTAGTGTGTTCAGGGAAGGAAACCCCAGTGCTCTCCCACTTGCAGGATGATACATGAGTAGCTTGAACACTTAGTTTTTCCCAGTTTTTTTTCCTCCCTTATGAGTTAAATCATGGACCTTACCCAGTTTTGGCCTAGAGGACTCCATTGGTGATTTGAAAAGATGGACTACGTTTTTCAGGGATATTATTGATCTCATGAGACTCTAGTGATGGGATTTTCCAGCCTCCAAGTCACTAGTCTGCCTCCCATTGCTCTTGTTTGTATAATAATAAAGGTCTTATTGTTTAAGTCACCATTAATCTTAGGGGTTCTGTTCACTGTATGGGGTGATTTGTTGTAAACTGGGTTTGTTGGCTTGAGATGAACTGCTCTGGTCAGGATCCCAAACTGTGTGCCTCGGCAGGGACAGTATGATGACAGAATATGCCTCTCCAGTTTTGGTCTAGGTTGCATTGCTGCTCAAAAACTTCAAGGAAAGACTGCAAGGCTTTGTGGTGTTAATTTTTAGATGGCATGCCATGATGTTTTATAGGTTCAGAGTTCAAACTGAGGAGGGAGCTGTTTCTGGTTGCTGTGACAACCTTTAGTGCTTTTGAGAGCAACACAAACTTATTCTCTTGTTCACAGGCAATATTTCATCATGCTCAGCACTGTTGAGGGAAATCTGTTCCCCAGGTCCTGCAGTGGAGCTATGTGCCCTGATGTCCTGAATTCTGTAGGGTAACATCAATGATTTTAAGATTAAAAGGGCCAGGGAAGTGATAATTGTTACAGAAACACTGGTTTAATAGAGAGTGGAGGAGACTACAATACAATGGTTAGAATGTGCCTCTTTTAAAAGGTCACTCACAACGTTTAGTCACTATGGTTGTGAAGGATGAGCAGGTACAGAAATTCTCAGGACGTCCAGAACTGTATATCCTGTGTAGCTGAAGGCCTTGTCAGAGAAAATAATCAAAACGTTTTGTGGGGCTTCCCTGGTGGCGCAGTGGTTGGGAGTCCACCTGCCGATGCAGGGGACGCAGGTTCATGTCCTGGTCCAGGAGGATCCCACATGCTGTGGAGTGGCTGAGCCTGTGAGCCATGGCCACTGGGCCTGCACGTCCAGAGCCTGTGCTCTGCAACGGGAGAGGCCACAGCAGTGAGAGGCCTACGTACCAAAAAAAAAAAAAAGTTTTGTGGATTCCTGTGGCTTCTCTGGGCTATTCATCTAAGGCCATTGCTGTGCAAACAGGAAAACAAGGATAGAGAGAAGAGAGATTCTTAGTCTAATGATATGGTATTTTTGACCCATCCAGTATCCCTGTTGAATGAAGTGGAAATAGTCTTTGTTTCCACTTCAAAAATTTCTCACCTATTTTTGCTGCCCCTGAGGCAAGTGCTGAACCTGCCCATTGAGTCAGTATGGTTGCCAAAACTGATTTTCTAGAGTAGGAAATCCAGAATTTTAAGTTGAATCATATTTTTAAAGTTTTAATAAGGTATAAATCATATGTAGTAAATATCTATATTTAAACTATAAAATTTGATAAATTTTTTTTCTTTTTTTTTTTTTTGCTCTATGCGGGCCTCTCACCGCTGTGGCCCCTCCTGCCGCGGAGCACAGGCTCCGGACGCGCAGGCCCAGCGGCCATGGCTCATGGGCCCAGCCGCTCCGCGGCACGCGGGATCCTCCCGGACCGGGCCGCGAACCCGCGCCCCCCGCATCGGCAGGCGGACCCCCAACCACTGCGCCACCAGGGAACCCCTGATAAATTTTGATATCTATATAAATCCATGAAACCATCAATCATTATAATAAACGTTTCTGTCACCTCCATACTTACCTTTAATAATCCTTTAATAATCTCTTTATCCTCCAAGCAGCCATTGATTTGCTTTTCATTATAACAAATTAGTTTGCATTTTCTAGAATTTTATATGATTGAAATCATAAAGTCTTTAGTCTTTTTTTTCCTTGGGTGCCCTCATGTGGCATATTTATTTTGCAGTTCATGGTGCTCACATGAGTAGTTCATCCTTTTTATGTTATTGAAAAGTGTGTTGTATTGCTATACCACTATTTATTTATTTATTCATCTGTTTATAGATGTTTTAATTGTTTCCAGTTTTGGCTATTGCAAATAAAAGTGGTACAGAAATTGGATACAGTTCTTCATATTGACATATTTCCTTTCTCTTGTGTTAACACGTCAAAATGCAATACCTGAATCATAGTGTAGGTGAATATATAACTTTTTAAATTTATTTTATTTATTTTCTTTGGCTTCATTTGGCCTTCGTTGCTGCGTGGGATTTCTCTAGTTGCAGTGAGTGGGGGCTACTCTTCCTTGCGGTGAGCAGACTTCTCATTGCGGTGGCTTCCCTTTGTTGCAGAGCACAGGCTCTAGGGCATGCGGGCTTCAGTAGCTGTGGCACATGGGCTCAGTAGTTGTGGCTCACTGGCTTTAGAGCGCAGGCCCAGTAGTTGTGGCACACAGGATTAGTTGCTCTGCGGCATGTGGGATCCTCCCGGACCAGAGCTCGAACCTGTGTCCCCTGCATTGGCAGGTGGATTCTTAACCACTGTACCACCAGGCAAGGCCCTATAAAACTTTTTAAGAAACGCCAAATTGTCCTCTAAAATGATTGTTTCCTTTTGTATGCCTATTAGCAGTGTATGAGAGTTCCAGTTCTCCCATATTCTTGCTAAAGTGGATATGGTTAGCTTTTAAAATTTTGACTTTTTTAGTAAATATATAGCATTATGTCACTGTGGTTTTAGTTGCATTTCCCTGATATTTCATGATGTTGAGCATAGCTTGTGTACAGGAAATATGGAAGAAGAGTGAGTATGTTAAACATTTTGAAAGACTCAATAAACCAAATTTAGATTGTGGCAAATTCTAATGAACAAATGGCTTAGCAGCTTCATCAAGTGAATAATATGAATTAAAAAATGGTAAGTGGTACATAGAGGTTAAAAAACATGCAAGACACACCTAATTATTGCCTAAGATAAATTTCGTATCCAGATTGCAATTAATCTGCATTAAATAATACAGTTGACAAAATTCAGCACTTACAACAGTTTATCATAATTTTAAGTATTTTGATTTTTTGCAACAAAGTTATTGGAGTTATATAAGGGCCTTTACATTTTAGAAACACATCCTGAAGGGGTTATATGTGAAGTGACATGATGTCTGCTATTATAAATAAACCACTAAGTGCATTGGGATATAGAGAATAAGAACAACCACGAAATGATAAATAATGACAGAATCATTACTTCTTACTAGTCTTTTCCATTTTGGGATATATTTGAAAATAGCCATTACAGAGGGTAGAGTATGTGCAGGTAGGGTAATTTCATATGGTGAGAAGGATAAATTTAAAAGGCCAGGAGGAAACTTTTAGTTTTGATACTCTAAGTGGATATTTTAAATATGAGCAGTTTAAGTCAATCATGTCTGAACTAAACTGTTTAAAAAACAAATCTTCAAAACTTGTCACTTCCTAATCTTTTTGTTTTCATTTTCATAGATTTTTGTGTGTGTGTGTCTGTGTGGCCATATTCCATTTTATTTGATCTGATATAGAAAATCCTACATAGTTTTTTTTGTTTTTTGGGGTTTTTTGGAGGTACGTGGGCCTCTCACTGTTGTGGCCTCTCCCGTTGCAGAGCACAGGCTCCGGACGTGCAGGCTCAGTGGCCATGGCTCACGGGCCCAGCCGCTCCACGGCATGTGGGATCTTTCTGGACCAGGGCACGACCCCATGTCCCCTGCATCAGCAGGCAGACTCTCAACCACTGCACCACCAGGGAAGCCCCTACATAGGTTTTGAGGGTATTTGTAGCTTTAAAATAGAAACAATTAGCATTATCCATAGAAAGTTAGAACAGGAAAAAACCTTAGATGTCATGAGACCCATTTTTCTTCTTTCACAGATAAGTAAATTAGGGCCCAGGAAGGGGAAGTGAGTGACTTGCACAGCTAGTTAGTAGCTGGATTGGAAGTAAACCCAGGTTTAGTAACCCTTTGGTCCAATGTTTTGTTTTGTTTCATATTTACATTTTTAATTTTTTTACTTACAGACTTTTTTTTTAAGAGCAATTTTAGGTTCAAGACAAATAAGAGGAAGGTGCCCTGCTCCTACACATTCATCACCTCCTTCATTATCACCATCCCCTACCAAAGTGGTACTTTTGTTATAATCTTATAATCAATGAACCTACATTGATACATTTTTATTACCCAGAGTCTATATAGTTCATATTAGGATTTACTGCTGGTGGTGTATATTCTGAGTTTGAACAAATTTATAATGATATGTTGCATCACTATGGTGTCACACAGAGTAGATTCACTGCCCTAAAGTTCCTCTATTCTATGTATTGATCCCTGCTTTGTCCCCACA